TCAGACTGGAGCCTCCATCAGTGAGCTGAACTCTGTCACTTGCTGTAACCTCAGAGCTGCCGTTCAACCAGAGGAAAGAGAGAGAGGATCCAGAGGCAAAGCAGGACAGAGAGACAGAACCACTGAACTCAACCAAGTCTGTGCTGCTGGAAGTTACCAACACATTGGAGACTTTCTCTGTGAAAAAAACAAGAATAACATAGTTGTATTTTTTGGCATCAACAATAGAAAATAAGGATTAAAATGACAAAAAATCCAATTGCAGTTAAACCTAAAATAGAAACAATATATTTATAATAATATAATATAATAAACCTTAAAAGAAGTAGTGTACCAACCAAAACCTTCAAATACTTAAATTCACATAACTGACAATATCAACTCATTTTAAGTGACTATTCTGAACAGAATAAATGAGATTAATTGAGTTCTCAGTTTGTTCTTTATAGTACGGGGGTCAATACTACCTTATAAAATAAATAAGCCATACAGTTTCTTACAGCCACTTTTTAATATAGATATAGAAAAATAGTTTCATTGTTGGCATCAAAAATAGAAAATAAGCATTGAAACAATTACAAATCAATTCCAGCTGAACCATGTCATGTTAAGGAGGATATATTACATACACAACCTAAAAAGACAGAATATTAATAATTGAAAGAAATACTGTACCAGTCAATATCTTGAAATATTTTCATTTGTATAAATAAATAAATCAACTCCCTTTAAGTGACTATTCTGAACAGAATAAATGAGACATTTGAGTTCTCAGCTTGTTCTTTGTTCTATGGGGATCAATATTACCTTCAAATAAACCATTCAGTTTCTTACAGCCACTTTTTAAAAGTCTTTATTATCACAGTCTTAAGAATAAGACAAATTATTGCAAGAATGCATTATTACAGAGTAGAGATGTAACATAAACGTACTAATCATTACAGGTATTTTTACATGTTCAATATAATGTAAACTTGTTTAAATATTGCAAAAACAGTTAAGCTGTTGAATTTCTACATCTGCTCACCGTATATCAACAGAGTAGTATGGCCCTGCTGGAGTTTTCCATCTTGTATAGTGTTAACAGTGTATTCTCCAGTGTCACCCAGAGTGAGACTCCTGAGCTCCAAAGACGCAGTAGATGGGAAGAAGGTGATCCTGCCTTCATACTCCGGTCCAATAGTTTCTTCTGAGTTAATCATGACTAGTATAGTTGTAGAGAAATTAACATTCCAGTTCACAGATTGAAACGGTTTCTCTGTTGGAGACAGTGTTGTAGTGAACATCGCCGTTTCTCCTACAGCTGCATTCAGACGATCATCAGGCAACACACCAACCCCTTCAGTGAAACCTGCGGGAGAAGAATAGAAAAGTGCTGTTGTTACTCAAACATATAAAACACTTGTGGAATATATAAAGATTAAGAGTTATTTTCATTAAAGTCAAATGTCCGCTTTTTCAGATAATACTGCACATAATTCTGGTCGAGTTTCAGGAACTCGCTCAATAATCGCATGGTTATTAAAACTGTTAACCAGCTGTTGTTTTTGGTGACTTGTTGCTATTCTAAGCCCTTGGCAAACAACCGAAGGAAAATCTGACTTTTGTAAAGAGACCACAAGTTATACTGAACATCTTAATTTTGAGACTTACTTGCAAATGTCACAAAAACAACAAGAAGCTGTAGTAACAAAGCCATTAATTAAATATCCATGTAGTGTGCAGTTAGGAATGTTCAACTATCAAACTGACCAAAAATCTACTGGCTCAGTATGGTGAATGAAAGTCTACTTAACAAGATGCAGTTTCATGCACCAGAAAACTTGCAGGATGCCTCCCTCAAGTGGCGCAACTGTGTTAGTGCAAGATGTAAAATTTGAAATGTTGCTATAAAGACGTCCAGATGTCCAGTCACATATATAAAAAATCTCAAAAAGTTAAATTAATCTGTAGAAAATAAAGCAAGTCTGAAAAGGTCACGTTATTTTCATTAGAAAAAGAAAAAAAAGAAAAAAGAAGCACACACAGCAGGTTAATTCAAGAAACAAAACTGACACTGACAGATTCACGTACAACATAATCTAGAAACAGGTAGCCAACAGGGGAGCCAACTGAAGCAACCTGATCAAAGGCTTCCCATATTTCTCCTGTCTCCTCTGTCCTACATCTGAAATTGGTCTTG